ATAGAGCAGTAGTCCAGAATACAAAAAAAGGATTGGGAGTAATATTCTGTATGTGAGAATTTACATTTTGAAAATAGATTATAAGAAACTGGAGAAAGGAATTGATGACAATAGTAAAAAAGTTGACAATTGAGTCTTTTGTGGGGGTCACGATGTGATCGTGACAAAATATTGTTTTGTTACGGGTCTTGGAAAATTTCCATTCATTAATGGAATTATATTTGGTGCGCGCGACATGCACAAATGAATTATTTTTTTCAACGTCACGAAGAAAAATAAAAACGGTACTGTCCGTTAAAGTGGTCAACAGTGGGGACGCAATAGCAAAGGAATAACAGGGTGTAGTTTTTGCCACGCATGTTAAAAACACACACAAATTATGGTCGCGACAAACAAAAATTATACCCTACTAAGAAGCATCTCTCGGACAAGAGTATCGGGGCGATTGATGAGAAGTACTCACACAACCGTGCACAAGGAAAATTCTATGAAAAAACACAAGTCTTGACAATCATCACCTCAATTCACGGCAATCATGATACTACTACTACTACTACTACTACTACTACTACTACTACTACTACTGCTACTACTACTACTACTACTACTACTACTACTACTACTACTACTACTACTGATTCCTCACACTCTTGTCAGCTATCTTGCAAGCCCCCCCTCCTTGTTGTTGAGGGTAGCAGGAGACAAACAAAGCGCTACTAACAGTTAAGAACATATACACAGTACTAGAAGAAAAGTCATACCCACAATCTGATATCCTACTATTCTGGACAGCAGAATATACACCAGCAGGTCTTGATGAAACTTAGTCAGCTGACAAGCTGCTCCTCTGTCAGTTCCTGCAGCTTCTGATTGAACTTCTTGGCTTCACTTGCAGCAATCTGCCTAATATTAATATCATTTGTTTCATTAGCTGTGGAAAACAGCTTGGAGAACATCATGTGATTCCTCTGCAGCTGAGTCCATCTGATACCACAAGCGGTGCCAGCTCGATCTCCTCCACCACCAGCAGGTCCATCATGGTCTAGCAGATCATCTGGATCAGCAAGCTCATCAAAGTGAACCTGCCCACTGATCTCAATGGCAATCAGCTCAACACCCCTTGATAGGATTCACATCATGATCTTATCTATCACCAATTGCTGCTGGGTCTCCATGATTCACCAGTTGAACCCAAGAAGCAACAATAACATCCCTCTTTACAGCATCCTCTGGAACCAACAATCCTTGCATTGCTGGCTCAAAACAGGCCCATACCAAAGCCTCTCCTACAATTGCTGCCACTTGGTTACCAAATACATTAGCAATCTTAGGGACTACAGAAGACCAAGCTACTTGTCAATGATTCCAGGCCTTCCATTCAGTGGCTTGTACATACAGATTCCTCCAAAGCAAAGCTTGAATACAATGTAAATATCTGGCCAAGCAAGCTTGGTGTCAGTGTATCAATTTTGTTGCCTTCTAGACTTCCATCTAGCTCTATGATCCATATCATCCCTAGGGCCACCACACTGTCTTGCAAGATCCCTTCTGAATACAATCTTTCAGCAACAAAGGCTCCATTCTTAAAACACATCATAGCGTTTGGTAAAATTAGAGTACCAGTTCTTTCCTTCTTAATTCACCTCTTTGTCTTTATCCTTTGTTAATGGGGGTGGGAACCTGTCAGCAGTTCCTTCAGTAATTAGCCACTGGCTTGCACCACCACCATCATCATTGAACCATTTTTCAAGGAATAGAGCAAGAAGCCCAAGAACCACACAAGCTCTGTGATCCATTGATCCAAGCAGGATCTGTTGAGGTCAGTCTCTTTCTTTGTAAACATTCTTAGACTACTTTAGCTTTGCTGTGAGGAACTGGGGAAACTCAGTTGATCTTTCTAAGCTATCTTTCCCCACATGATTCATATAATCATTCCGACCTATCAAGTGAACCTGGAACTTAAGCATTGCAAAATACCTCAGTTGACTTGTAATGGTCCTGTGATTTGCCATGAGTTCAAGTGTTTGCAAGAACTCATTCAATATAAGAGGTCAATCTAGTAGTATGCTGCTTGCCTCCCCAAGGCCTCTAGTTTCCTTTTTGATAACAGCCACTGTTAGATCACTAACTTGCTGGGACTTGGTACTAGGATTTCCGCCACTTTCAACACTGGCAACAACAGTCCATTTGTGCAGCCTGTTGGGCACAACATAGTATGATATTGCTTTCTTGTAGTAGTAGATTAGAGAGGTGGATCTACAATGAAGAGTAGGATTATCATCCACACCTGGATTGTCTCACACAAAGGCTTTCTTTGCAAAGAACTTGTAAAAAATGATTGGGTGTTAGAAGACTCAGCTGCTCTACAGTAAATAGCATATCATTTGGAACATGATTATTGTTGCATCAACTCTTCCATGTATATGATCCATTAACTCGGGAAGGACCTTGTGCTGGTACCTGCTCCATTGAGCTGGCTGATTCAGATCTTGTTTTGCATAGGCATGACAGTCCCACCCCGCCTTTTGAGAGTGTGGGGAGGACAATGTTGCACCTGTTGAGCTGTTACTACCACTTGCTTCTTGTTGCTGCTGTTTGATACTTCTTGCTGCTTCTTGTTGCTTCTTGTTGCTGTACTCTTACAATTTTAGCTTAAAACTGGGTTATTTTGTGAGCTAATTTTTGATTGCAAAAACAACAATGCATGCATTCTTACTGCATTGTCAGCTAATAGCAGTCCAACTCATATATACGTATTACTCTAAGACAGAGACCTCTAGTACACTAGCTCTACTATTGCTTAACAGTAAATCAAGTTTTCAAGGACGCAGAGAAAAGAATACTATCATTATTGATGGAGAATATAATCAATCAGTACTAGTGATTACAATATTGTATCCTCTTACTTCTAATTCCACTTCCACTACTACAAGTCATTTTACATGCAAGAGCTGTTTTGTCACTTCTTCTTGTGGGTGTGAGCTTTCAAAATTAGGGTACGGTACTCACATTCTCACATTGGACCCTCTCGAGAAGGAGGAGCAGAAAATAAGGAATTCCACGCCACCACCAGCACAAGGTCTATTTCCAGGTGTTTTCCACCTGCAACTAGTATTCGTTGATCCCAAACATTGTCCCCCTTGGGGCAAGTAGAAGCACTGCTCCTCACAGAGCAGTGGCGCTGGCTTTCCTAGCGCCTCTGCGTTTTTGATTTCAATCATCCAAACTAGTACTTCATGGTTTGTGGACAACGCTACTTTGTTCGTTGTCCTTGTGTTCGTTAACGAAGGCTGCCCCATCTTTGCCGGTGCTGCGTTTGTGGTTGTGGGTGTTGTCTTCGCGTTCGCTGTTGTGGAATCCGCACGGAATCCCCCACCAATCAAACAAGATCGCGGGCAGGATTCTTCCCGCGACGGTGCTCTGATAGAGATGACAGGCCTTCATCAGCAGCCACGGCGGACGGCCACCTCCCCGGAATTTCGGTACCCCCCTGCCGGGGCGGCGCACGGTGTTGGGATCGCCAGAATTCGTTGCGCTCCCGGGGGAGAACGAACCACCACCACCACCGTCCCGGTTCCGCTTCCGCTTCCCAAAACGGCCAAAGCGCTCGAACCAAGGACACACTTTCATGACCACCATGTAGCCAAAGAAACAGGGAATGCTCAGTGCCACAAAGAGGATCTTGGCCAGCACGATTCCCCGGGACCTGAGCTCGGGAAGCTCCGGGTCGTCGAGGGCGCAGTAGTAGGCCGGGTGCTCTCTCTCTAGGTACTCGCGGTAGAAGACCGGCAGGCCGGAGGACCTGGCCCCCACCCGCACCAGGTTGCAGTACCGCTGGCTGGCGTTGCAATCGTAGCGCTGCCGCGATCCCATCAGCCCGACCAGCGTGAGGGCCGAAAAGGCTTTCTTTTCGAACGAACCCGCGGTTGGTTCGTTTCGATGGGCGTCGCAAGGTTGGCTATCGCTGGTGCCCTCGCTGGTTCTGCCGCCGTCGTCGTTTTCGTCGCCAAAGACGGGATCGATCTCGATGCACCCGACTTCTTCCACTCCGTAGCCACCAACGTTCCAAAAGGGATCCTTCCGGTATTCCTGGAAGCCCATTCCCCCCTCCGTGACGAGCAGGTGCTCGAACTGGTCGCGGGTGATCAGAAAGGCGACCCCGTGAATGTCCGGGCGTTCCCGTTCCCTTGGGACGGAACAAGATGCATCTGCATCGCTGCTTTGGTTACGGTTTCTGCTGCGGAGCGGGGGGATCTCCCCCCGCTTGACGCAGGTACAAAAGGCAGGCTCCCAGTACGGAAGGATGCCCTCGGTAAAGGTCAGGACGTATCCGGGAACGTAGCACACCCTGTGGTCCAGGCACTTGATCTTCCGGACGGTTTCGAATACCTCTGGGTTCATGTTGGATCCGTACGAAAAGTACCACACCAGTTCTTCTCCGCTCTGGTTGTTGCCGGCGTCGTTGCAGGTGGTGTCTGCGGTGGTGTCTGCGGTGGTGCCTACGGTAGTGTCCGAAGCTTCATTGATTTGCTGGTTTCGATCGCAGTTGGTCTCGTTGTCACCGGACACATGATCCTGGTTGCTGATGTTGTTCATGATACCGAATGTTCCCGGTATGTGATGCGATGTGATCCGAAAAGCGGCTATTTCTTGCAGCTTCTTCAGAGTGAAGACGCTATAAAAAGGTCGAGTGACTTCTAGATGCTAAAAGATTTAACTCGCCGACGTCGTTTCGTTCACGCGAAAAAATACAGTAGTGGTTGGTCCCGCATCGTGCGTTGTCGTGAATGAAGTGTCTGTTACAGTGACACCTGCAATTGTAGATGCCGTGCCGTATGTGTGGGGTTTTCGGCGGTTTGTTTGGTCCTTGAAGCAGCTGCAACCAGAACACAAAAAATTGTGATATTTTGTGTTGGGGCTTTTGTTCTTCGTTGGTTCCCGCAAACATAGATCAAAAAGTACTTTTAAGTAGTAAAGTACCCGTATTGAAGTACAAATCTGTTACAGTATCAGTACAATATTGTAATTATGACTCATCCTTTAGTTGGGTATCGTACGAGTAAAGTACTGTACAGTACACTCGTACGGTAGGGTCTGCAACGAGCATCGGTCCCACGAACGCGCGGGTGATCGCGCGAGACCAAAGGGAACCAAGCCGGCCAACACCCTTTGGACAATTCCAGATCAAGTCCCGGGTTGAGGGTACAGAAACCCAACCCATCAGATTCTCATCCTTTTCACATTCCTTTACTTTCTAGCTTAATCCATAATTTTATAATCCACCAAATATCGTACTTTAATCACGTAGTTGGTGCAGGGTCTGATGCTGAATTCTGTAATTTATTTATTCCTGTTCGAGAATTTTGTCGTAATGATACCGGGGTACGTACGTACGTACGTACCAACAGGGGTCATTACCAACACATTAACAAGAATGGTATCGAAAAGTACAAATCCTACGGTACGAAGCAAATAACAAGACTTCGTTTTGCGAACTTTTTTTGGGTGCGATAAGCTAAAGTTCAAACGTACTTAACACAACTGAAGCACTGCTACCAGCTGCAACAGAACTCTACTTTTTAAGATCTCTAATAAAATGTTCTCTGAGCTTTATTATTCATTTAGTTAACAAGTAGGGTATTCCATTCTAGTAGAGTAATCTCTTTACAGTAAGACTTCAAACCGAATTCACCGTATTCACCGTTTCCGAATGTTAAGGAAGTATCGATTCAAGAGGAAGGCGACGTACTTGTTATGGCGGAACAACTTGCTCCATCCTACGGAGCCGCTATTTTAAGACCAAAGAGATACGCACCTACCACATCGAAATAATACTGAGAGACGGTATCACGAGTAGCGAACGAGGTGTCGCAAATGCAACATGGTCGTGAACATAATTTTCTAGCTTTTCAAAATCGACACCGGCAACGGTCCTTTCCGAGTCGCGTCCCACACAAAGCCAATCTCATCGAGCAGCGCCTTGCGTTCCTCGGTGAGGCACGAGGACCGCTGGTGCGTGACCCATTTCCCGAGTTTGGGATTCTTCTTGTATCTCTGCGGAACCAGGGTCGACCCGTGTTCCTTCTTGTACTCAATCAATTCATTGTACCTGTTCATCCAACGATCTGCCATGGAGATGTGTGCGTATTTGCTGGCCTTTTTGGATGTCGATTCAACCGATGACAAGGCTTGGCTCGTGCTCTTCTTCGTGCTCGTCTTCGAGCAAGCACTGTTGTTCGTTGTCGTAGTATTGCTCGATAGATGCGCCTTCGTGCTCTCGAGTAATTTAGAATATTGTAACCTTTGCTGGTGTTCCTGCTGCTGATAACCCCCCTTCTGATATATTGCAGTAATATTTGTAACCGACGGACGCAGAATGGAAACGGAATTCATCAAGAAAGGAATAACTCTTGCGTTCAAATCGACGTCTTGACTCGTTTGTTTCTGTAACAGCTGATGTTGTTGCGCAATGATTGCGCTCTGTTCTTTCAGTCGTTGATCGTAATTGCAAATCTTCAATAGTAAGTCATCGATAACTTTCTGTTTCTTGTTGTTCTCTCGCTCTAGCTCGGTGTTGGTTGCGATGTTTCTTTTCAATCGATGGATGGAAGTGTTCACAACACTCATGTTTGCCCTCAAGTCGATGACCTCTTGCTCCTTTTCGTGCAGCGACTGGGTGACGGCAACGAGTTTATCATCTTTTATGTTGTTTTCCAACCTTAATAGAAGGACCTCAGACTTGAGAAACTCATCTTCACTTGTGTTTGTACAGTGTGGTATATGAAGGGGAGCATGTGCCGAAGCCCTTCCATTCAAAAACCGAGTCAGCGGACTCATAACGATACTAGGCGATGGCAGTCGCTCGTACCTAGAGTTATATGGGTGCTGCTTCTACTGGTACAGCCGAAGTCTTATTCGTTCGCTTTCGACCGCTGCTGCTCAGCCTGTTTGTGATTTGCAGCGAATGATTCTGAAGAAATGCAGTCTGCAAAGAAGGTTGTTTGAAAACCAATTACGAGAAATGCGAAACTTTTGTTGCGAAGACAAGGTTCTGTGAAAGACGTTTCTACAAAGCTTCTTCGATAAATATAATTAAAAAAATAAGGCAATAAAGTAATAACAGATCGTTCGAAGAACCCATGTTTCTAGTGATCTCTAATCGAAGAAGTGATCTAAAGTCGCCCTTCCTTTGAAAACTGACTTAAAAAAGAACATTCGCAATATAAAAAAATATCAACAATAAGTTCCCATAAGAAACAATACTGAATTGTGAGTTACTTCGACAATTCTTTGTGTTTCTATGTAAGTTTCTTCCCTAATCCATATAGAATATAGATTTTCTCCCCTTTTTTGGGGACGATAAATACATTATTGTGAGCGCAATGGTCATAAGCCTCATAGGTTCTATAGTTTGTTAAGTAGTGCGTAAAATATGATTTTGAGAATAGCTTGGAATCGATTTAAGTCTTACAACGCCATATTGATACTTTTCAACACCTATGTCGTAATGCGTGTAGCATTGAATTTAATTAAGTTTAACAATGCCGGTACAATTAATATTCTTCAACACCGATGTCGTAGTGCATTATGTAGCAAATAGATTGTTGATCTAAAAAAGCCGATTTCGCCCCAAGGTTATCACGGCCCAATGAGTGATTCCCGTTATTATAGAATCGTAAATGTGCTAAATCTAGGAGTTTGGCACTTCTGTAATAACGGGAATMAAAAAAWCAACGGACAGACTGAGAGCAAGCCAGCCCTCATTTCAGTCTTTTTGGGAATCTGGAATCTTAACTATCTTCCAACGTAAAGACTAAAAAGACTCAAAACGCGCGCCACAATAATTTTGGTTCAAAGTAAAACATGAAATTTTCGATACGCACTTTCCTACATCAATCCACTCACGCTCTACTCATTTTGTACTTATTACCAGTAGCGCATGAGCGGGTTGATGTAGGCCGAGCCAGCAAGAAACACACTAAAAGACAACAGTTTCCTCCCAACAAAACAAAAGGCAACACCAACCATCGACAATGGGATTAATAGAAGTGATCACCATGTACTGGTACCTCCAGTTGAAGGCCGAGGAGGAGGAGGAGGCACAAAGGAGTTACAAAAGCAAACTGTCCCCGGAAGAGAGACGTCGTAGGGACCGGAGAACCCCCAGGATTGCAATCAGGAGGTATGCAGCTTCCCCTTTCCTGTACATGTTCCACTCAGGGGATGACCAAGCTCTCCTAAACTGCTGTGGTGTCGACCACAAGGTCTTCAGGGAGCTTGTTGACCTGTTTGCTCCAGTATGGAACAAGTATACTGTGGACAGGTACACCAATGAAATTGTGGAGGTTCCTCGTTTCCCYAGTGGCAAGCCCAAGGGGAAGAAAAGGGAGGTYGATGCAGTCKGTGCAATAGGCCTAGTCCTTTACTGGTACAGGACAAGAGGATCAGTTGCAAGGTCAATGGCATTTGCCTTTGGCTTAACATCCACAGTGATGTATAAGTGGCTCAAATTTGCAAGGAGAGTKATGCTTGTTGCTCTMCACAAGCATCCAGAGGCCATGGTGAAAGTCCCATCTCCTGAAGAAGTTGATGCTTATGTTAAGGCAATTGGAGAGAAGTATCCAAGGCTTGGGGAACAACRCGTCTGGGGWGCTGCTGATGGCCTCAAGCAAGTGATTGAARCSTCYGGMGACTGGTWSAAACAAAGACCATTCTACAATGCATGGAAGGAGAACACCTATGTCAACAGTGTATTTGCCTTTGCCCCGGATGGAAGGATCAGGATAGCAGTGTACAACTGCCCGGGGGCATGGCACGACAGCGCCATTGCCGAGCATGGTGTGTACCAAAGGATTGTGGAGGTCCATGAAGAGTGTGGTGGAAAGATTGTGGTGGATTCTGCATTCGCYCTGAAAGAATACAAGGATAGCCTCATCAAGAGCTCACAGAAGGACCCATATCAAGCAGACCGGATACTCCTCAACAGGGATGCAACCTCGTTGAGACAGATGTCGGAATGGGGAATGCGTATGATCCAGGGACAGTTCCCTAGAATCAAAGACAGGATGTGCTTGGAGGAGCATGGGGAAAGAAAGATCATCATGAACCTTCTTATCAACTTGTATAACTACCAGTGTAGTTATGTAGGACACAACAYGATCCTATCWAGTTTCATGAGGACGCCACCGGCGACGGACCCAGCCATTCCTCATGAAGAGTTAAGGAATGACCTTGCAGGAGGATACTTTCATCTAGGACGCCAGGTCTCTGCAGATGGAAATGGAGTATTTCTTTCTTAAGGAAATCCCATGGTGAAGAGGTGAAGAGGGCATTGTTGTTATTGTTGTTAGTCGAGTTTAGCGAGGAACAAGAACAAAAGAGCACAACAACGATTATTGTTCACGACAACGATCGACAATTGATACTTTCCGAAACGACGAAACGACAACGCGATACAATCAACGCACGAGGAGGATACAATACTGTTTCATTGCCATGGTGCAAAGAATTCAATGGTTAGTTTCCTTAACTGGTTTGAACTGGCAACACTACTGTGAATCATTCCATGAAGCAAGAATATGAGCAAGCAGCTATCGTAGCAGCAAGCAGCTATCGTAGCAGCAAGCAGCTATCGTAGGAGGAAGCAGCTAAGTATCTGATACGGGACGAGTTAGGTTTTCGTGTATACACCTGTGACCTGGCTTCCGCGTTTGTTGATACAGGAGGAAGCAGCTAAGTATCTGATACGGGACGAGTTAGGTTTTCGTGTATACACCTGTGACCTGGCTTCCGCGTTTGTTGATACACACAAATGATGGAGTACATACCGATTTATACTGTAATGAATATAAGTTCAACGTTATAGTGCAATGAAAAAAGTTTTATGATAGACAACATGTGCATGCCGATCCAAACCGTTTTCGTGGGACTTCCCACGCGTTGATACGGGCAAAACAGTTCTAATCCCGCATTGGACCTTCACAAGAAAACCTTCATCAGCAAGCTTCGTGGATATGTACGAGACGCTACAGAAACCACGCTAACAACGCTAACAAGCTAAAGCTCATTGTTTTGTATGAGGAAAGATACAGCAGTATAGTTTAGTTAATTTAGTCTAATGTAATCTGTTAATCATGGTGCTTGTTTTCACCATGGGATTGTTGTTCATCTCCTGTGCGTTTGCGTTTGTTCGATGATGAAGCAGGTGGCGGAGCAGCCGATACTGCAGTCGAWGCAACTGAAGGAGGACTGTAGTGGGACTGGTACGTCGGAGGAGGACCATGGTAAGACTGTTGTTGTTGCTGTTGCTGTTGCCAGGTATTCATCATGCTAAGAGCTGCTCCAAGGAATTTCTCTGCCACTTCCTTTACACCACTCCACATCTCAATACTGCGTTGGTCTCTTCTTTCCTCTCTTTGTTCCTGCTTCATAATGTATTCGTTGAATACAGCGGCGTCGGGGACACCAGTTTTCCTTTGTCCATGCTGGTAAGATCTCTTCTTTGCTGGKGTAGATTCAACAAGAGAAGGGGTCAAGTTACTGGCAGAAGCAGAGGAAGCAACAGTAGCAACATGATACTCCTCTCGCTCACGCTGTTCTTGCTGCTCCTGTTCCTGCGTTTCCTCAACAGCGGCGCGTTCACGATCTCCATACATCGATCCGGCACTCGATCCGGCAATTGCAGCTGTAGTTGCCCCGGAAGCCAGTGCTGTTAAACCTGCTACAGCCTCACTCTTAGCATAGCCTTCAGTGATATCAAAGTCCTCCTCTGCAGTACCAAGATTTGCCTTTTCACCAA